TGGGTTTGATAAGTGGTGTGTATGTTTGCTGGGATCTCGCATTACAATTTTTTCTTTGGGTGAATAACTGTGAACATATGCTTTATGGGTTCCCTTCATAACACACAAGCTGCAACCATAGTATCCATTGAACTGCTTCATTTTCAGCAATTTCGGCTTGCATTTAAGATCAGCTATCAGCATAATTGTTATGAACTTCAGGTCATATTTTCGGTTCTCGTGAACTATTTGAGCTGGCTGGCTGATTTCGTTTTTTAAGTAGTTAAATACGAAATCCCAGTCACTAAATTCAAACCCATACCAAAGGGCACATAAAGTAATATTAGCAAAAGAAGACCGAAGTTTGGGTGGCAGGTCAGCACACGCTATCCACACAGGGTAGGCAGACTCACGGTGAGAAGCCCTAACTTTGGCCCCATCGATGTTTAATATGAGACGAATTCTCATTGTTTCTCCTTCAACTATAGGTTCCAGTTTGAGATCAGTGTGTGAATTGGAGCTCGAGTAAGCCATTATAACATTAACGTTTTCTTGCACTTGCTGAACGAGACTATTGAAAAATTTCAGAAAAATAACCTCACCATTAGCATATTTCTCTTTTTCGTGAAGGAAAATTTGTTCTTCGGCGGCTTTACTCACCATTCTTTTGATTCGTTCTGGTGCTGGTGCGTTTTTTTCTCCGTGCATTAATTTCTCGCGCTTGATTAGATCCAGCAGCAACTGATCTGACCCACAATGTTTCGCAACAATCGACATGAGCGAAACTGTTGAATTTTGAATAGTTACATCTGATGTCTCGCTTATAGTCCCTGAACTAAACTTGAAGCCCTTTGATGATGATTGCAAAGCTAAATCCCTATTATTGGTGCCTGAGTCTTCTGACTCAGTTTCGGAAACAGGAAAAATATCAGAGCAGACACTTTCAGCCTCAAAATTATCTGTTATCTCTTCCGGCTCGAAATTTTGCGCATTCAACGTTCTGTTTCCGGGAGTTTCGACAACGTTGTCTTCTGATGGTGGTATTTCTTCGCAATTCACAGTTTGCCGATGAAAATGTTGCAAGATTGCAGTTGATTCTAGTTTATTTAGCATATGTTTTCGCTTTCGATTTTTTTCAACTTTTTCAAACGATTGCATTTGTGTGTCACAACATTCAGCTTCGGAAATCTTTTTTGGCCCGGCTTCGTTTTGAACAGACTCACTAGCGATTGTATAGGTTGAAGTGCAGGGCTGAGGAGGTTGATGTCTGTGAGTTGAGGGGCTTTCAAATTCCTCGGATCTTTTCTGTTCCGGCTCACTGTTCTTAAAATTTTCATGATTAGGGCAATTGCATTGATCATTGTTTCCGAAGAAATCATCGCCGTATTTCACTGTAATTTCTTCGTTGACTTCTATGTTTCTGATTACCTTTAAGCAAACTGTTCTATATTTCAGCCCACAGCTGTAACCCATGAAATATTCGCAGTTCGGCTGGCAACTATGATTCACAAAGCGAATTGGTCCCAGCAAAAAAGCATCTTTTGAACTTAACTGACCCCTCATTATGGACAACTCTCGATATTCATTCTCCAATTCCAAAGGTATATCTACAAGAAATCCCATTGGAGACGACAGTGGTTCAGAGCGGGGCTTCAATTCTTTCCCTTTTGTGTTAAATAAACCGAAACCTCCGTAGTTATCCCGTAGGAATGACAGTTTTTCCTGTATTGTGTCGTCGTACAACTTCAAAATTTTTTCGTGAATTTTCAATAAGGTTTTTGAAGACTTCAAGCGACCTTCGAGATCTAACCAACGAGAGTCAAACAAAATTTCAACTGGTTTTCGGCTAACATCACTCCGATCATTTATCAAATTGTTTGCGATGAGACCATCTAATGCAACAATATCACGGACGCTTGCCATTTTTGTCTGAAAAGAGCGGAAAAATTTGATTTTAGTTGTTTCGGATTCAAAAAAGACAAGCTCACTGGTGGTCTCAGATGCGGAACAACTGACTGCTCAAAAAAATGCTCAGAAACTCAATTAAGAACAAGAAATCAAAAAAGTGCTTTGAGACTCAACTATAACAAAAATCAATAACTGTTTTAAATTATAACGCAGCTCTTTTATAACTATTCTAAGTGAATTTCAACGAAAACATTTGATAGCAGAAGATAGCACAATTTTAGAAAGCACAATTTTTGAAGCATTTAAATAATCTAAAAGACAAGCTTTTCATCAACAATTGACATTTGAAGTTCAATCACAATCAACATAAGCCAGGACATCCTGGCTAAACCATCGCATTCGACAGAACTAAAGAATGGTCCACTGATGCATCAAATTTCCTCAGGGCCGGTTTCCAGGGCCGGGGTTACAGATGCACTTTGACGGGCCAAGCGGTTCAAATCACGTCCTTTCTGGTTTACTATTTTCCTGCATGTCTTGTAAGCAAGAAGGGGCGTAAGGGGGTACTTTTGTTGTACAACGCCTAAATACAACAACAATAATTAGTGTTATCAAAAAATATTGTCAACCAAGACACGGTTCTTATGTCTAAGAGAGCAAACCTTTCTGGGTGAAAACTTTCTTTTGATTTTTATCTTTGCAAAAACTAAGATTAGAGTGATTGTATTCATAATAGCTGTTAATTTGGAGTTAAATAAATAGAAGACTAACTTTTAAATTTAGCACTTATTTCTTCAGAGACGGGATTCCTTGAAGTTTGCGATATCTTCACCGGAGACAGCATGGTATCCATTAATTCATCTTCCATCAATTTTTTCGCCAGCTGGAGTGCAAAACTGCTCGGCTGCTTTCCCGCCGAAATCTCCATCAGGTCTTCCCCGTTGTGCCAGACTGGAGTTACTGATAAATTCCATTTCGGGTTGTCGTCTACACTTTGAAAACCTTCGCGCTCAAAGTTGAGCAACTCCTTTACTTCCTCTCTCTAAAGTACAGCTCAAACTTCTGAGAAGCATGAAAATTTTGTTTGATTTAACTATCACAAAATCAAGGTTGGCTCTTTGTTTACCATGTCTTCAAAAAATTCCATTACATAGCTGAAATCAAAGTTTTTGAACAAGTAATATTACTACCTTTAAATTGCAAAAAATTATTTAATACCTTGGTAGAAGAACAACTGGTAAATTCATCCTAAAGTGTAACGCGAATTTTTTTAGTTTGCAAGCAATTGCTTATCATTACCTGTATTTTTTAGCTGACTTCGCTGACTGAGTCTTTTTTTCCTGGCTTTATCGCGGGCTATTTCCATGGCACTTCTCATTTCAGCCATCCTTATGTTGTGTCCTTTCAGGAACACAGACCACTTTGCTCCTTTATCTGGGCACGCTTCGTTAGCAACGAGAGGGAACTGAGAATTGGCTGGTGTCAAATCCGGCATCGGCGGCAACTGCGACTCCTTTTGAAAAAAATTCAAACAAAAAAACATAACTTTTAACTTCCAAAACTTGATACTAAAAAACATTATTTCAATCTTTGACTTTGGAACTTACAACTCTTTTTACTACAAGAAATCCATATTCAGACAACCCCCGTTCAAAAATTCACAAAAAAAATTTTACCTAAATTATGGTTACCTGTTGATAATCACTGGTATTTGGCGACTCTACTGCGTAATCCGACAGTGTAGGGCTCAGATCCCCGCGAACTGTTGCGTCCGGCAGTGATAGATGAGCGGTCGAAGACGTGGATTGTAAGTTCCATTGAGTGGAGCTAGAGCCTTCTCCTCCAAGTTTGATTGCCGCGTGTTCCTCTGTAACGGCATCCTGGGATTTGCTCAGGAAATTAATATCGTCTATGACCAAACGCATCTTTTCTGATTTGAAATGCTTCGGACGGAGTTGACTAGCTTTTCTTCCTCTTTGTAACTCTGTCAAATAGCCAGCTTCGGCCCTGTCTATTTCTGTTTTTTGCCCTCTGCATAGCAATCGAACACTCAATAACTCTCCTCCAATGTTTAAATTAGTATTTTCCCCAGGAATCAAATTATTCCGGGCATCAAAACTTGTCCCACCCCACGCTTCGCCAGTAGCACTCAATTTATACAACCCTTTATTCTCGAACAACCAAAACACGTTTCATTTTATTAACGACTGTTTCACAATGATTTCGTTTTCGAAATCCGTGTCAGATTCGTTAACTCTTTTTTTCGGGTTTCTTCGCGTTCTAAAACTTTGCGACGTATTCATTATAAATAATCTTGAAAAAACACTGGGCAGTTACTAGCTTTCCGACATTCAGCTTTTGAAAAACCAAACAGTTGTATGAAACTTAAAAAAACCTTGAGAATCAAACTACACATGAACAAGTATTTACTCGCAAACAGTTTTTCAAACTGCTACAACAAACATCCTAAGCGAACTCAATTCAACCAGAATCGATAAAATCAGTCAACAAAAAGACACTCAACTATTCAACTTAAAAAAACAGACGGTTCAAAAGTAAACATTTGCTTATGCTCTAATCAAAGTTTTCAGAGATCGAAGCGGTACTCAATTTTACTCTTCCTTTGTTCCGTTTCTCTGCAGACTGCGCTTTCTGTTTTTTTATCGTACGAAATCTATCCATGCCGGCTTTGTTAGCTGCTTTTCTTGCCCTCTCATACGCATTGGGAAACGAACTGCTCTTGAACAGACGTCGGATACTGGCTGAAACAATAAATGCACTTATACAGTTACTGTTGAAAGCCGTTTGCTGAGCTTATTTCAAAGAGTTATTTCTTGAATCACGGAAGCCCGGCAGTTTAAAAAACGTTTCCCTTTATTTTGCGACTTTCAAACTGTTTTTAAACAATCATGCCATAAGCGCTGTGTTCAAGGCTAACATATTACCTTTGAAGGCTTTGGTGCTGTTCGGGGAAGCAGCCTTTCTTTTTTCACATTCACTATCTTTGTGAGGGGAAATCAATTCTGCTGTCAAACCATCCCTCTCCCCATATGAGAGTTCGAAGTTTCTTGCCACCTGCCTCAGGGTTGGCGACATAGCCCAGATTGTGAAGATCAACCTTGGATGATCCCTCTCCGAAAAACCATGGGCAATCAGTTTTTTCATCTGGGCCAGCTCCATCATCGTCAAACTCTGTGGTTAAATTCTTTGTCAACTGGAAAACGACATTAAAGTAGAAATGCAATCTCTGCTTTTGTGTAACATAAAACCTTTTCACCAAATTTTTTTTTACCGCATCTTCACTAATTTTATTTACGTTCCAAATTTTAGTTCCAATAAATTCTCAAAACATACAAACTTAATCCTTACCGCGTCTTTCCAATTTTTTATCTCCCCTTTAAGGCTTTGGTTGCAATCTTCGTCTAGATCCTGATAAGCCTCTACAAACTCAGCAAACATTGCTTCATCTTCTAAGAGAGCTTTTGCCGCCTCCATGTGTGTCTCACAGCACTAAAAAAACTCAACAACACTAGAATCAATTTTTTTAATCTGAAGCTCCTGGACCAATTGATCTGCCTCTTTTCAAAACTCATCAAACATTCGCTTATACCGTAAGATTCCAATTCTTTTAAACATATGGCGAGCAATTCAACACGTTACACTCGACATAATTACAATTTAAACAAATTAGGGTAAAAAACACTCACATTTACTTTGGTAGTGTCTTCTGGCTTCAATTCTGCTCCCAACGTGAAAGCTTCAACTCTTGTCGGTTCAACTGGTTTGACGATTTCAACCTGTTCGGACACCAGAAGCCTTCGATACTCTTCCTTCTTGTTCTCGTAAATTCGGGTAACAGCCTTTTTCGGACCCGATGCAAGAAGGACATATGATGATGCACGGCCGTTGATAGTCAAAACACACTCTTCGTCTTTTTTCAAGCTTAATTTCTTCGCTGTGCCCGTTTCTCTGGGCCATCGATCATCTTGGCAAATTAGCAGCTGCAGATTAGCAGATTCATTAACAAAGAGCCAGGAAATTGGAACAGACATATGGTAACTTGAAAAAAAAACTTAATGACAGACGTGCTCAGAATCTCAGTTTAAAATCATTGAATGATTAACAATCGCTCAAATTTATTTAAAAACATCTCCAAATGTCAACGAAGCTTTTAGAAAGAAGGAATGTATGTTTGTAAGTTATTATGTATGTAAGGATGTATGTAAGGATGTAAATATGTATGTATGTAAATCTATAATTATGCATGTATGTGATTATGCATATATGTAAATATAGATCTAGCTATGTAAGTATGTGTACGTATGTATGTATGTGTATGTCTGTGTCTATGTATGTATGTGTATATGTATGTGCATATGTATATAAGTGTATATGTATGTATGTGCAAATGTATGTAAGTGTATATGCAGGTATGCATTTACCTCTGAGTGTGTAGGTAAGTATGTTTATGTTTGTATGTGTAAATGTTTGTATATATGTATGTATGTACACGTATGTATGTATATATGTATAAGTATATTTATGGGTAAAGGTATGAATATGTGTGTAATGTATGCGTATGTATGTAGATATGTATTCATGTATGAAATTATTTGTATGAATAAGTATGTTATATGTATGTATAATCTTATAAGTGTGCATGTGTGTATGCATCTAAGTATGTATGTACCTATGTATGGATGTATCTATGTCAATCTATATCTGTATATATGTATGTATATTGATATGTCTCTATGTATGTATGTATGTATGTATGTATGTATGTATGTATATAACTATTTATGTACGTATCTATTAATGCATGCATCTATGTATGTAGGTAATTATGTATGTGTGCAGCCATGTAGGTAACTATCTTAGTATATATCCATGTATATATAAATGTATGTATCTATGTATCAGTGTATCTATGTATGTATCTATGTATGTATGTATCTATGTATGTATGTATCTATGTATGTATCTATCTATGTATGTATCTATGTTTGTATGTAAGTATGTTTGTATATATTTATGTATGTACACGTATGTATCTATTTATGTATAAGTATATTTAAGGGTATGTGTATGAGTATGTGTGTATGTATGTAGATATGTATTCATATAAGAAAGCATTTGTATGAATAAGTGTGTTATATATGTATAATATTATGAGTGTGCATGTGTGTATGCATCTAAGTATGTATGTACCTATGTATGGATGTATCTATGTCAATCTATATCTGTATATATGTATGTATATTGATATGTCTCTATGTATGTATGTATGTATGTATGTATGTATGTATGTATATAACTATTTATGTACGTATCTATTAATGCATGCATCTATGTATGTAGGTAATTATGTATGTGTGCAGCCATGTAGGTAACTATCTTAGTATGTATCCATGTATATATAAATGTATGTATCTATGTATCAGTGTATCTATGTATGTATCTATGTATGTATGTATCTATGTATGTATGTATCTATGTATGTATCTATCTATGTATGTATCTATGTTTGTATGTAAGTATGTTTGTATATATTTATGTATGTACACGTATGTATCTATTTATGTATAAGTATATTTAAGGGTATGTGTATGAGTATGTGTGTATGTATGTAGATATGTATTCATATAAGAAAGCATTTGTATGAATAAGTGTGTTATATATGTATAATATTATGAGTGAGCAACTGTGTATGCATCTAAGTATGTATGTACCTATGTATGGATGTATCTATGTCAATCTGTATCTGTATATATGTATGTATATTGATATGTCTCTATGTATGTATGTGTGTATGTATGTTTGTATCAATGTATGTATGTATCTTTGTATGTACGTATGTATGTATCTTTGTATGTATGTATCTATCTATGTAGGCATTTAAGTATGTATGTGTGTTTGTATGTATGTATATATGTAGGTATCTATTAATGTATGCATCTATGTATGTATGTAATTATAAATGTGTGCAGCCATGTAGGTAATTATCTTAGTATTTATCCATGTGTATATGTATGTATGTATGTATGTATGTATGTATGTATGTACGTATGTTTGTATGTATCTATGTATGTATGTATGTATGTATGCATGTATGTATGTATGTATGTATGTATGTATGTATGTATGTATGTATGTATGTATGTATGTATGTATGTATGTATGTATGTATGTATGTATGTATGTATCTAAAGATCTATGTATCTATGTATCAGTGTATCTATGTATCTATGTATGTATCTATGTATGTATCTATGTACGTATCTATGTATGTATCTATGTATGTATCTCTCTATGTATGTATCTATGTTTGTATATATGTATGTATGTACACGTATGTAAGTATATATGTATAAGTATATTTATGGGTATGTGTATGAGTAAGTGTGTAGTGTATGCGTATGTATGTATGTATGTATGTATGTATGTATGTATGTATGTATGTATGTATGTATGTATGTATGTATGTATGTAGATATGCATTCATGTATGAAAGTATTTGTAAGGATAAGTGTGTTATATTTATGTATAAAATTATGAGTGTACATGTGTGTATGCAGCTAAGTATGTATGTACCTATGTATGGATGTATATATGTCAATCTGTATCTGTATATATGTATGTATATTGATATGTCTCTATGTATGTATGTGTGTATGTATGTTTGTATCCATGTATGTATGTATCTATGTATGTATGTGTGTATGTATCTATGTAAGTATGTATCTATCTATGTAAGCATTTAAGTATGTATGTGTGTATGTATGTACGTATATATCTATGTATGTACAAATCTACTAATGTATGCATCTATGTATGTATGTAATTATGTATGTGTGCAGCCGTGTAGGTAATTATCTTGGTATGTATCCATGTATCTATGTATGTATATATGTATGTATCTATGTACGTATCTATGTATGTATCTATGTATGTATCTATGTATGTATCTATGTATGTATCTATGTATGTACCTATGTATGTACCTATGTATGTATCTATGTATGTTTCTATGTATGTATCTATGTATGTATCTATGTATGTATCTATGTAAGTACCTATGTATGTATCTATGTATGTATCTATGTATGTATCTAAGTATGTATCTAAGTATGTATCTATGTATGTATCTATATATGTATCTATACATGTATCTATGTATGTATCTATGTATGTATCTATGTCTGTATCTATGTATGTATCTATGTACGTATCTATGTATGTATCTATGTATGTATCTCTCTATGTATGTATCTATGTTTGTATATATGTATGTATGTACACGTATGTAAGTATATATGTATAAGTATATTTATGGGTATGTGTATGAGTAAGTGTGTAGTGTATGCGTATGTATGTATGTATGTATGTATGTATGTATGTATGTATGTATGTATGTATGTATGTATGTATGTATGTATGTAGATATGCATTCATGTATGAAAGTATTTGTATGGATAAGTGTGTTATATTTATGTATAAAATTATGAGTGTACATGTGTGTATGCAGCTAAGTATGTATGTACCTATGTATGGATGTATATATGTCAATCTGTATCTGTATATATGTATGTATATTGATATGTCTCTATGTATGTATGTGTGTATGTATGTTTGTATCCATGTATGTATGTATCTATGTATGTATGTGTGTATGTATCTATGTAAGTATGTATCTATCTATGTAGGCATTTAAGTATGTATGTGTGTATGTATGTACGTATATATCTATGTATGTACAAATCTATTAATGTATGCATCTATGTATGTATGTAATTATGTATGTGTGCAGCCGTGTAGGTAATTATCTTGGTATGTATCCATGTATCTATGTATGTATATATGTATGTATCTATGTACGTATCTATGTATGTATCTATGTATGTATCTATGTATGTATCTATGTATGTATCTATGTATGTACCTATGTATGTACCTATGTATGTATCTATGTATGTTTCTATGTATGTATCTATGTATGTATCTATGTATGTATCTATGTATGTATCTATGTAAGTACCTATGTATGTATCTATGTATGTATATATGTATGTATCTAAGTATGTATCTAAGTATGTATCTATGTATGTATCTATATATGTATCTATACATGTATCTATGTATGTATCTATGTATGTATCTATGTCTGTATCTATGTATGTATCTATGTATGTATCTATGTATGTATCTATGTATGTATCTATGTATGTATCTATGTATGTATCTATGTATGTATCTATGTATGTATCTATGTATGTATCTATGTATGTATCTATGTATGTATCTATGTATGTATCTATGTATGTACTTATGTATGTACCTATGTATGTATCTATATATGTATCTATGTATGTATCTATGTATGTAGCTATGTATGTATCTATCTATGTATCTATTTATGTATCTATGTAAGTATCTATGTATGTATCTATGTATGTATCTATGTATGTATCTATGTATGTATCTATGTATGTATCTATGTATGTATCTATGTATGTATCTAAGTATGTATCTATGTATGTATCTATGTATGTACCTATGTATATATCTATGTACGTATCTATGTATGTATCTATGTATGTATCTATGTATGTATCTATGTATGTATCTATGTATGTATCTATGTATGTAGCTAAGTATGTATCTATGTATGTATCTATGTATGTATCTATGTATGTATCTATGTATGTATCTATGTCTGTATCTATGTATGTATCTATGTATGTATCTATGTATGTATCTATGTATGTATCTATGTATGTATCTATGTATGTATCTATGTATGTATCTATGTAAGTACCTATGTATGTATCTATGTATGTATATATGTATGTATCTAAGTATGTATCTAAGTATGTATCTATGTATGTATCTATATATGTATCTATACATGTATCTATGTATGTATCTATGTATGTATCTATGTCTGTATCTATGTATGTATCTATGTATGTATCTATGTATGTATCTATGTATGTATCTATGTATGTATCTATGTATGTATCTATGTATGTATCTATGTATGTATCTATGTATG